AACAGTTTGGTTTTTGTTTATATTATAGTAGGTTCTTGTACCAAGTTAGCCCTTTATTAGTGCAGAACGTTTAGAGTTTAAGTGATACCCTTTATTGGCTAAATTAAATTATTAAAGATTCAAACTTTCAGAACATGTTAAATTCCTTTCTCAAGCAGTGTACAATTCTGAAAATGGTTCTGAAAACTCCAAGTGATTTTTCAGTTCCAGAAAAGTGTGAAACATTGTGGTATCTTCCATTATAGCAGAAGTCTATTGATTATTGCAAAAGGTTTTGAGTTTAAGTGATGTCATTAATCACTAGCTAGTTTAAGGGGTCTATTCACTAAGCTGCCGAAGGATCTAGCCGTAGCTTGGCTGATCCTTCGGCTAGCTTCGGCCCCAGTACCCCTTCGGTTCAGTAGAACCGAAGGGCTGCTGTACGGGCTATTCGCTATAGCTCGTACAGCTCCCGAAGTCGGCCGAGCGGCTCAGTCGAGCCAAAGGCATTCGGCTATTCACTCACTGCTGTTTGGCATCTATTAGAATAGACCGAACAGCAGCGAGTAGCCTGCCGGAGGTTCGGCTTAGCCGATCCAGATGTTGGATCGGCTGAGTCGAACTCCTTCTTCACTTCGAGCATGTTCGGCCGACCCGAAGCCACACGAAGCAAGCCGATGTACAGCTGATTTCAGCCGATATACGTTCGGCTCACTTCACTTCGGGTCGGTTGTTCACTCGGCCTTCTCTCTTCAATTTGTTCAGTTAAGCTTTGAGAATGAAAGATGGCAGATGATTGGTTGCCATAGGCAACTGCTCGAGATGCTATCTGCTCCCGTTTTGATAAATTCCCCTCTATGTTCCTTCCTTTGGTTTACAGATTTGTAAAAAGACAGAGGAAGGAACCTAACATTATCCCAAAGCTTGCATTTTTAATAACTTAAGTTAGCTAGAAAAAAAGTACCATTAAACGCCAAAGTTTACATAAAAGTATGTAAGAAATTTACTATGCATACAATACCTTTATTGTTACATGGTTGCATTATGTTTCTTTACCAAATTGATTTCAGTTTGTGTTTATTTATTTTAGGTAACTGTTAAAATAAACCGGTTGTGTCAAACATTACGTGAACATTTGGTTGTTGTTCAAGACCAGAAGTTTCATTTGGAAAATTTACCACCAATCAGTGACAGCTTGGAAACCCTAAAAATGCAACTTGAGCAGCTTGAGGTAAGCATATTGAGCATGCTAATTTGATTTGGAAGTGTATAGTCAACAGATCTCAATGTAATAAAAAAAAATGTCTCTTTTCTTTATTTCTCTAGTCATTTGAATCGAGGTTGACTGCATTTTCTGCTACTCTGAAAGAAGATGTACAACTTGCAGAGCAGCTCTCACTGTCTATGCCTGATGGCAATCCAGGAGAACATCCTAAGGAGCTAAGTGACAATTTGATGAAAACTTTTTCTGCAGTTTCTGATATGTCTTCGGATCGAGCAAAACAAATTGCATATGCAGTGGACACTGAAATGGTAAGACATACATAAAATGTCTGCATATCAGGCGGGAAATTAATTTGGGTGATCTACTTGGATTTTGTTAAAAGGAAAAAAAGAAAATACATTTCTAATGGATTTGATATAAAACAAGCATGTATTTTATATACGCAAAGTAATATTCTCAGCTCAGTCTCAATAGGTCTACGTAATATATATTGTATATACTACATAGTATACAAGCTATACACCATGTGGATAGCTCTAAATCGTGCAGTCCTATTCCAACCAATTCACTAGGGCTAAATTTAAAGCAGGCTTACCATGACGCTGCCCCCTTTCTCCCTATGTTAAAACATGGGAGATCCAGACATGCTTAAAACAGCTACAGACCTTTCATGTGAGTGCACCAACCACAGCATACTTTCTTTTTCTTTTTGAAAGCTAATGTAAATTTTTTTTTGCTTTCTAGACCAAGTTGGCGGAGACCCATCAGGGCCTTTTTAATCGTTTACAAGTGCTTTCAGATTGGCTAACTGCTAATAGAGAAACTATGGACTTTTCACTGAATACTAATGATGTGGATGGATTAAAGCAAACCTTACAATGCCTAAAGGTGCAGTAAATATATCAATAACATATTTCCATACTGTTTACCTGGTCCACAACCATAAGTAACCAATGCGTATTAGCGTTTAGGTGAGGTGCCGAACAAGGAGTGCTAAGGTTAAGGTGCTGCTTATTTGTACAGTTTTTAATTTGTGACCTAAGCAAACCCTTTTACAGATACAGGCCGTACTCCGATTCTCCTAATAGCTTTTATATGGCATGTAGATGTAAAATACTTTCCTGGATATCTGATATGTATTTCAGATATGTATTAATCTTCTGTTGAAGGACGTATGGGCAGCAGTTGTCCCAAACAACTGCTCTCTTTCCTGGCAATACATATATTACTTCATATCAGCATACAGATATAGGGTGGTTCTTTGTTACCTTGTTTTCTTCAGATGAGGTTGGAGTGTTCAGAAAGCTTACACATTAGTATTACACATTGGCATAACCATCCTCATAATTCTAACAGGGTTATTCACAAAAGGGTGAAGAGTTTGGAGAAAGCCGGGGAAGTGAACAGTCTAGGCTAAAATAGCTGATTTGGAAAAATTATCCAATTCAGCTCACTTTCCAGGTCAGCTATGTTGTCCTAGATTGTTCACTTCTCCTGCCTTCTCCAAACTCTTCATCCTTTTGTGAATAACCCTGTAAGTGATACTTCTGATGTATGCATTACTTGTGATGACCAGGTAATTTCTGTTCTCCCTCCATGTGCAAATTAACGCCCATGTGAGCAGGGCTTGACATTTCCTCTGCTGTGGAGAAGAGAGACAGGCAAAAAAACCTGCATGTGTGCCACTGTCATCATGAGCTGGGTATTGCGAAAGGTTATGGCATTCCATTGGACCGGCAGATATCTTCCCAAATGTCACTTGGAATCTATTTACATAAGTTAATTTACAATCACTGGAGGCCAAAAGTCAGTTTAAAGCTTTTTTTCCGCATTCTGTAATATACTATTTAATGGTTGATGATGGGACTTGTAGTTTTTCAGCTTTGCAAGTGCTGCGGAATGCTTTTGCTGGGACTGGGACAGGATATTAGCTGCAAGGTGCAGATGATGGGACTTATAGTTCTTCAGCTTTGGAAGTGCTGGTCAATGGTTGATCCATGTAAAGCATAAATGCATATTAAATGTCATTACTAAATGAATATAAGCATGTGTCGGAACATCTAGACCCCTAAGATTAACTAACTTTTAATTATACATGTAGGATTTAAACACTCAACTCTCAGAACAAAGAATAGAACTGGAGACAACGGCATTTGATGTCCAATTCTTCATATCCGAACATGCTCAGGATCTGTCTCCAAATCAAAGCAAACAGCTGCTGAGACTTTTGAATGCAACACAGAAAACTTTCCAGGAAACTCAGAAGACGCTCTCATCACAAACAGAGATATTAATAGGTCACCTGCTGGCAGTCCAGGATTTGAATGAGCAGAAGGTTTGCCTCTTGGTGCATGCACTCCTTTTAGAGATCTGTTTGCAGTTTGTTTATGGCTTCTGTGTGCTTTGAGTAAATTCATCCAGTCTAGTGAAGAGAGTATATCAACAGGTTGTATTACAAAACTTGTTCAACTAAATAATTTGTAAGATATAGCATGGCATAAGTTACACTAGTCCTACATTACTTTACATGAAATGAAGTACAGTAACTCAAATGTTTCTCCAAATCCAGCAGTCTTTGTAATGTTTTTTCTTAGAATGATTGTCATGTAATACTTTTATACACTCAGTACTCACTAAGAAACATTCAACGGCCCATGGAGCTTAAACTGCAATGCCAAGTTTACCTTCAGGATTCAGGAGCTGAACTAAATGTAATTCAACGTTCATGTTATTCGTGTTATCCAGGCAGGTAACCCACTTTGTTGAGCTGTAGTAATAATTTAACATGCAACATCATATAAACCCATATTCATTAAAGTAACAGTAAACTCAGGAGTTAAATATTAAAAAGGCATTCAGGTAACTCAACTATTAACAATACTGTACCTTATTTGTGTATCACTCCTCAAATCATCTCTGAATTGGTGCTGACACTGTCCTTCCTTCTGGAGGGTGGCTACTTTTGTTCCCCATGGTCCTTGTGTGTGTTGTTAAGTAGCCACCGCTCCAAGCTCACTGCTGTGATTGACTATAACTTCAATAGAAATTAGTAAACTAAATGTGAGTCTATCACAGGAGCAAGCTTGGAGCGGTGGCTACTTTACAACACACACAGGGACTATGGGAAACAAAAGTAGCCACCCTCCAGAAGGAAGAACGGTGTCAGCACCAATTCAGAGATGATTTGAGGATCTACATCTAAATGATGCACAAATAAGGTACATGTTTGTTAATAGTCAGGGTACTTGAATGCTTTTTTAAAATTTAACTCCTGGGTTTAGTGTCACTTTAAGCGTTAGGGCATGGTACTTACATTAAAATCCAGGAGTCAGTATTTGAATATCAGACACATTAGTTAATGTACTGTGTATAAAGGGTGCAATTGCTTTTGTATTTAAAGCTCATAGCGTGAATCTTTGGCAGATCTGTCTTAAATGTACATCTTGCTTTAACCGCCATACTTCAACACTAACCTCTCTGTTTGATATATCTTTTTGTGCATCATTATTAACGCAGGTTCCAGGAAGAAAAGGGGACTGGATTGTCAACGCTGTTGAATCATCTACTTTAACTTGTGCATGGTCAGGCTTTGATCAAACTTTTCTCTACTTGGTCTTTTTTTTATATTTTGAGATGAATGTGATATTTTCTCCTCTATACTCCAGTCACCTTTGCTCAAACCATGACCCACTGCTACCATGTTTACAGCATACTACTGTGCTTTGTGTCTGTTCAGCACTGCAGTCTTGACTATAATTTGTTAAATACACTTGTATTGTCTTTTCTTTTCCTGTAGGATGCTGAGGTTCAGCTGCAGGAACACAAGGGAAAGCTGCAGGAAATTTGCCACTTGCTCACACAGACAGAGAACAAACTGATTGGACAACAAGATAAGCTGATTGCAAGGGATCCTTCGGCTGATCTTCAGCACTGTCAGAGTGAATATGAGGTGCTGTACCAAACATAGTTGTAGAAGAGGACAGCCCCTTTACAGGCAGCCTCTGCTTGCATGATTGTTCAGCAGAGGCAGTTCAGTCCTTCCTATAGCCTGCATGCTCATTTATCTTTTTTGTAAAGCCACCTGCTTATCTTAAAAATCCAACTTTGTAATTGAGAATAAAGTGACCTGTTCCTGGTCGCTGTTTAGTCTACCCCTTCCTGCTTCTCTTGACTTTCCTATTGGCTGCAAAGTGTAATGGGACCAAGAAAAAAAATGGAGGACAGGCCATAAAGCAACAAGGAAGAGATTTGGGCCCTGATTAATCAAACTGCAATAACACCTAAAATGACACTAAACTCAGGAGTTAAATCTTAAAAATGCCTTAATATTAACAAAAATGTATCTTATTTGTGTATCACTCAGTTATAGATCCTCAAATCATCTCTGAATTGGTGGTGACACTGTCCTTCCTTCTGGAGGGTGGCTACTTTTGTTCCCCTTGGTACCTGTGTGTATGTTGTAATGTAGCCACTGCTCCAAGTTCACTCCTATGATGGACTACAATCTCATGTTTAGTTTACCAATTTGTATAGAGATTGTAGTCCATCATGGGTAGCGAACTTGGAGCAGTGGCTACATTACAACACACACAGGTACCAAGGGAAACAAAAGTAGCCACCCTCCTGAAGAAAGGACAGTGTCAGCACCAATTCAGAGATGATCTGAGGATCTACAGCTGAGTGATACACAAATAAGCTATGTTTTTGTTAATAGTTAAGGTACTTTAATGCATTTTTAAGATTTAACTCCTGAGTTTAGTGTCACTTTAAAGCTTGATTTATAGGATATAGGGCATGCTAAAATTGAATGCCATAATACAGACCTGAGAGGCTATTTTAGCATGCCTTAAGTGAACATTAAGTTGTCTTAAGTGCAATTGCAGCTTGATGACTCGGCCCCAGTTTTTTTTGTTGCTCTGTTATAGTCCTCAGATTGCTAGGTAAACCAACACTTTACAAAAAAGTAATTGTGAGCACAGGCATCGGGAGATAACTGGCCTATTATTTGGACCGTATTTGCAGGCTTGCTTTATTGTATTGTTTTCTATTTCAGTCATATAATTGTGTGGTCAGCTGTACTCTAGATTTGTGGCTATTAGATATCAGTGATCTAGATGTCTGGGTGCATATATTTACAAATTATACATTAAAACAGGGATGCAGAAATCCCAGCAGCTCAGTGTGCTCCTTAAAAATTACAGCTGCCTCCTAACTTTTGAGTTTTTTTCTAGTCTAGTCTTGGAGCTGGAAAAGTATCTGTACTTGGACCAATTACGGTACTTGGTATCTGAACGTCCCTAGTTGCAGTATATGTTTTTTTCTTAATAAGGCTAAGTTTACTTTTCTGACCCTGTTTCATGTTATAGTCATATTTAGGGTGTAACATGAAACATGGTCACATGGCATCCCTCCCCTTCACCAGTTACCTGAATCACAGAGGTTCTCCTCCCCAAAGGCTACTGCTGTTTAAATTTGGCGCAGCTGTGTGTGTCTACCCACACACCCATGTCATCCATTTACAGATCCTTTGGCAAGGTCTGTTAATGAAGAAACTACAAGTCCCACCGAGTTTGCAAGAGCCAGAGTATTGCATCCGTGATTTACTAATGTGATATGGGCCTTAGAATGTGTACTGCTATGTTACTGGATTCTTAGAGGAGACGTCTGTGGGAAATAAAAGATGACAGACATCCTGTAATTACTTTTTTGTCATGATGGGAAAGAATTAGGGATGTCCCGATGCCACTTTTTCAGGCCCAAGTACAAGTACAATTACAAGAATAATAAGATACATTGAAGAGGGTTTAATTCCCTTTACTGTTACAATAGAGACTCTGTTTGAAATGTACAACATACCATATTTCTGAATGATGTTAGGTTGTATACCTCTAATCTTCACACATATTTCTAAGAAGCAGGCAGAATACACTTCGTAATAGAGAACCGCCACTCCTAATTTTCTTATTTTACAGGAGCTACAAAAAGATATGCAGGCTGGTGCCAGCGAGTTGGCAGAAATTGTGAAGAATACAGAGAAATTCCTTCAGGAACATGGAGATAAACTTTCCTCTGAAGAGAGAGCCATCATTGAGCAAAAGCTCAAGGAAGCAAAAGCTAAGTTTGAAGTTCTCCAGAAGAAGGCAGAAGAATCTAAGAAGGAACTGGAAAAGGCAGTCACAACAGCCATTAAGAAAGAAACCGAAAAGGTTATTTATTTTCATGCACACTGTCTGTCCTCTCTGTTCATTTGTATTTGCATTTGACCTAATAGTGTTACATTTAAGTTACATTTGATGTAGTTTTCCTGGGCGTCGTGCTTAAGTGGAGGCGGGAAAGGGATGACTTAAAATGCCCACTCACATCTACAAGCCTCCCGTCCGGCCATTTAGGTACGGCGAATGGACGAGAGGTGGTTAATGACCAAGGGCAAATGTGGGTCCTGAGGTTACACAGGCTGAGAACCACTGTTCTCACTTCTTACTTGTATGATGACTAGGAGAATCCATCTTTGGAGTCAAATCTTTGCCCTTTTAATGATAGAAAATATAATAGGGACTCACTGAGGAGGTTTAAAGGGGGCTGAGCAATGTCTTGAAGAGGAACGCCAATCATTTTGTTTATTTTTAGTAGGGCTGCGGAAATTAACGATTAATCCTTCGATTAATCGTAAATTTTTTTGATCGATCAAAATTATTTTGATCGGAACTCACCTCTCCACCGGCTTCCGGGTCTTCCGTCGGAGATCCGGTGACGTCACGGACTCCTCCCCCCTTCCCCGAGTGGCTCTGTCGGCTTACGGAGGGAAGGGGGAGGAGTCCGGTGACATCGATGTCCGTGACGTCACCAGACTCCTCCCCTTCCCTTCGTTGTGAGCCTTATTGTAACTGCAAAGTAATTGGATCTTCTATGTGCCTCATTTTATATGCTGCAAATCTTTCTCGTGCCCAGGCTGATATTTGGTATGTATAGCCCCTCCATTCAGCAGTGCAATGGTTCACTGCTGAACCATTGCACTGGTTCAGCAGTTCCTGATCTTTTCAGGAACAATGGATGACTGAATATCTATTTCTGGACTTAAAACTGCCTTTATTATTATTTGTTTCCCCAACAATAAGTATCAATCACGGGGGCCCCAACAAGTGTCTGGGATCATAACTGTCCATTCGCAGCATTGGGGGTCTAACAAAGTTGGTTAGACCCCACACAGCCTTGGTTAGACCTCACAGAGCCCTGCTACCCTGGTGAGACCCCTTCAGAGCCCTGGTGAGTCCCCAGAGAGCCGTGGTGAGACCCCACAAAGCCATGGTGAGACCCCATGGAGCCCTGGTGAGACCAGGGCTCTGTGGGGGCTTGCCAGGGCTCTGTGGGGTCTTGCCAGGGCTCTGTGGGTCTAACAAGGCTGGTTAGACCCCACAGAGCCCCCTGGTGAGTCCCCAGAGAGCCGTGGTGAGACCCCACAAAGCCATGGTGAGACCCCATGGAGCCCTGGTGAGACCAGGGCTCTGTGGGGTCTTGCCAGGGCTCTGTGGGGTCTTGCCAGGGCTCTGTGGGTCTAACAAGGCTGGTTAGACCCCACAGAGCCCTGCTACCCTGGTGAGGCCCCCTCAAAGCTCTGGTGAGACCACACCTCTGTATGTGCGTTATAATTAATCGAAATTAGTCGATTAATCGATTAAAAAAGTATATCTCTTCAAACAGTAAACACATACTTCTTTGTAGAGTGGGGAGGGCTAGAACTTGTGCCAGGTGTTTGTAACCAAGAAGATACAGTACATCACCAGCACACCGTAAAATCTCCAAAATTGTCTTTATTGACGCATGTACATAATGTCACAAAGACGTCAGTGTTTCAGGGCCACTCTGGGTCCCTTCATCAGTCTCAATATGACTAAATTTGTTTGTAACTGTCTGTATCCCAATTAAAGAAATTACTGCACCTGCTGTGCCCCAGGGATAGGAAATAGAGAGAAATACCCCACAAAATAGACACAAATACCATAAACTAACTGACAGAGGTTCTAATCACTTACAACAAGTTTTTCATGGAGGCTATGGGATCGGTGTGGGATGATTTTGCTGTGTACTTAGATGGTGTGAACTTTCAAAAAATCGTATTCTTTTATGAACTGTCGGATGTGCGGCTTTTCAAGTTTTTCATTCCATTTTAGAGTTCCATGTTAAGTCTGTAATGGTCATGAAATAGTTTTTGCTATGGTCCTTACATTTGTGGCAGTTTCTAATGTGTACCTGTTTATAGTTAACAAGTGTGATAGAATTACTATACAGGAAAAAAAACTTAAAATAGAACATTTGTATTGTATTAAAAGAGTAAATAGTCTCTATATTGCAAGAAAACAAACGTCTTAGCACTCCAGCACATAACTAAACAATATGGTGATTTTTTAATGTAGTCTGCTGCTGTTGAACAACTGGAAGAAAGCAGAAACAAGATAGAGAGCTTACTGAGTTGGCTATCGGAAGTGGATGAAAAAGGAGAGAATGGAAACTTGGTTAAGAAACCCACAATCCAGCAAAATGGAACACATCACAAAGACAGTGAACTACAGTCTATACTGGATGGTGTGGAAGAGGTCAATGGTAACATAATAGAGTCTGATGGGAAAATGAATGTCAAGTTAAAGGACTTATCCAAGGAAGATGACCTAAGCAGCCAGTATCAAAAAGTGAAGGTACAGTACCTGCTTAACGCTTTTTATTACAACATGTTTTAATTGCAAAGGCAAATATACAGTATATGCCCATAATCTGTGTTGTGATAAATAACCAGTAAATCTCAAATACAAATAGTAAGTTTTTTTAGGATATAAGATGTTTTGCTACATATGGCTAACTTACTGCCCTGGATATGTTAATAGACAATTATATATTTCATGTTTTTGTTAGTGTAGAGTTCTTCCACTTATATATGTATGCCTAAAATGAATAGCTTTGGTGCTAGTTGAAATTTAATGCAGCATTAATATGTATGCAGTGGTGTAAAGAATGGATCACTTGAGTTACGACACTGACATAGCTCCATGTCCACTCCCCTGTCAGAATTGAAATTGCTTATGCATAACAAAACCATTACATGTGATGGTTCTTGTCTAGTGCATTTTCAATAGGTCTTAACAAGTCACCATCAATGTGGAAGTAGAAGGTTATGCCTATCTATACCTGTGGTGGGAGTACTGTGGGCTGTGGGTGTTTTTATGTTGGATATGTGGGGGCTAGTGTTTGTTACTAGGGGGAGATGTTTGCTTGTCTTCCTTTGGCCCAGAAATCTTAAGCCATGACTGAACATGTGTGTCTTCAATATTACTTATTGGGTTGTGGGATATTGTTATCTATGTATTCCCTTAAAACAAATCTCTTATATTTCCCTGTAACAATTTCTAGGCCCAGCATGAAAAGCTTGTGTCTCAACATCAGGCCATTATAATAGCCACACAGTCAGCACAAGCTCTCCTGGAGAAACAAGGTCGTCACCTCACCCCAGAAGAAAAGGAAAAGCTTCAGGGAGACATAGAAGCATTGAGAGCTCAATATGAGTCAGCTTTGAGTGATTCTGAAAGGAAAATGAAGGTGATCCAGACAGTGCAAGAAGAATTGGAGAAGTTCACTAAAGATTATAATGAATTTGAGAATTGGCTTCAGGATTCAAAACATGAACTGGAACATCTGGAGACTGGGGCGGAGAACGTTGCTGGTGTTGTGGACAAGTTGCAGAAGCAAAAAATCTTTTCAGAAGATGTGATCTCTCACAAAGGGGACTTGCGTTACATCACTATATCTGGACACAGAGTACTAGATGCAGCAAAGTCTTGCAACAAAGATGATGTTGTGGAAGATAATAATAATGTCAGCACCCTGGAAACATGTAAGATGGTTCAGAGCAAAGTAGATTTGGCTTCAGAAAACTTCAAGTCATTACATACTAAGGTAGGGTTATTTTTGTATGTTTTATAACTGCAGCCTAAAAAGAAATGCAATAAGCATCATCTCAAAAGATAATTAAAAAAGAAAACCAATAATTTAACTTTATATATTTTTTTCTTCCTACATATAGTAAATGTTACATTTCTGAAGCTGTCGTAATTGTGCTGATGGCATTAGAGTATATATAGCTCCATACTTGTCTCTAGTTTGGGGTTCAACTGAGGTATATTGGTAATCAAGTCTCCATTAGCTGGGGTCTAGTATCTCAGCAGGCTATGGACACCATCATGCTTCAGTTATTGGGAACCAGCGATTACTCTGCTTGGTAAATTAACTCCTGCATCTCCTAAACAGATAAAACAAAGCATCAAAGGGTAGATAGATCTCTAATGATATTTCCATTTTGTCGCAGTTGTTATTGCATACTAATTATACATTTGGAGTGCTGTGCAAGCTGCTTACATTGTGTTAATTTGATCAAATACAAACCATTGCTCTTGTAATTTCACTATAGTGCAATATCCTGGGGAATAACTTGAAGGACTTAGTGGACAAGTATGAACATTATAAGGAAGCATCGCAAGGGTTACTGGCAGGTCTTCAGAGTTCAGAATCCACTGTGGAAAAACGCCTGTCTGAACCTATTGCGGCTGACAGCAGGAACTTGCAGAGGCAGATAGAAGAAACAAAGGTAAACTATATTTTACTCACATGTGAAAGCATTTGATTATTTTGTCTGAAGTAAGAACATTCTTACTGAGCTTGATAGTAAATATTTAAGTTTATAGTTAATTATGTAATTAAATAAGAGCCATTCCCTGCAGTGCTGGTCACACAAAAGTTAATGAAATGGTAAGACATCTAGCTGTTTAAATGGCATCTGCATTTTGTATAGCAGTGCTTATGGAAAGCATCTTCACCTCTATCATATTGGTCTATGTGAAATGTGTGACACCCTTGAGGAGATGTAGAAGCTGGGTGTATATTCAGGAAGTGGATTGTATTGGGCCTTACAGCTGGCAGTACAGACAAATTAAATCCGGAAGGCAGGGTTGCTTTCATTTATCAGGAGGCCCAGAGAAAAATTCATATTAAATTGGAACATATAAAAGGTTCCTGAGCCTTGTGTCAAATATAGGGCATTAACAGGGCTATTCACAAAAGGGTGAAGAGTTTGGAGAAGGCAGGAGAAGTGCACAATCTAGGACAAAGTAGCTGATTTGGAAACATTTTCTAATTCATCTAACTGTACAGTTCAGCTATGTTGTCCTAGATTGTTCCTTCCTTCTCGAAACTCTTCACCCTTTTGTGAATAAACCATTAAAAAAAATACATGATTACTATATATGGTAAATAAATACAACAATGTATGTTAAAGTGTTTTTTTTATAGGCAAAACGTTTTTTTCTTCAGTTCTGAATAGAATGGGGAAAGGTTAGAATCCCTGTCGGGCTCTTCCGGAGCTCCATTAAAGTGATTTGCCCTCACATACTGTGAGGGCAAATCAACAACCAGACAGGAAATGAAGGAAAATCTGCGCCAGGAAGACTAACAACAAGAAAAAAAGCTGACAAATGTTTTATTATTCACCTGCATAACCTAAAACAAAACAAACAAAAAAAATACAAAAACGTTTTACTTCTTTGTGTTTTATAGAAGATTTTCCCCTCACTTCCTGTTCTGGGAAAAACTTTTATACCAGACAGGAAGTGAAGGAGTCCACTCCAACGGCAGAAAAATATGACAGATGGTTTAATCCTTCCCCACAGTTTAAAAAAAATATTTGGCTGTCGGTACAGATTAAGTCGGATGAGCTATAGAGCATTTGATCACATTGTGCAAATAAACATAGCTGTGTTGCAATCATCAACTATTATCTTGTGCTCCATTTTAATGATTAAGGGTATACTGAGAAGTATAGTTCCTCTTCTCTCTCTCTAGATCTGTACTCTACTTTTCACACCTGCATGCCTCTAGTCAAATGCAATGGAAGTCTGGGCATGGAGTAGGTAAACATATGCAGGAGTAGCCTTCTTCTAGCACTTTGTGCTCTCTAGTGATTACATGTGTGTAATGCAGCACAGAAATAAGAATTTGATGCTTTTGGCACTGAAGACTGAATCAAACAGGGTGTGGAGCAGCTGCCTTCCTTGTGAATAGATTAGTACTTATCTGTGCCTACAATATGGACATACACACAGACTGAATGTAAACAATGCAAAGTTTTCACTTGCCTATACCTGTGCTTAAACCCTTCATGACCGGACTTTTTTGACCATGTTGTTCCTTAAGAACCGTGGCTGTTTTAACACTTATTCACGCACATGCTAAAATCTGAATTTTTGAAAAGAAAATTACTTTAAACCACCAAACAGTTATATATTTTCTGAAAGCTGAGGCCTTGTAGAATAAAAAAATGAATTTTTTGCATTTTTTTATGTCACGCTATATTTGCACAAATGTTTATCAAATTGATATTTTGAGAGAAAAAAAACACAAATTCATTTTAGTGCACACAAACACAATTTAAATTATCGCGCCTCTGACAGCTGTGACTCAGCAAGCACTCTGAGCACAGACTTTCCCGGGTCTGCCTCCGCTCTCCATGGTGGCACTAATTGCCAGGGTCCCCCAGAGGAGCTGGGGACTCCAAAACCCACAGCAGGAGGGTTGCACCTATGCAGGCTGATACAAGTGATCTGAGCAGCTGTACAGCCACCCAGTTCACTTGTAGAAAAAGAGAATTGCCTACTAAAAACAACAGTTGCATGGCTGCAGCCATGATCTTGCTAGAACTACTTCAGGACCAGCTACGTACAGCAGTCCTGAAGCAGTCCCAGATCCTCATCAGTCGCTAAGGGGTTAATGGTAAAATAGCACATGGAAGGAGAGGCAGAGGTAAGAGGTTATAATTGTAAATTTGCCTGCTTATCTATAGGTAAAATAAAACAGGTAATGTGTTCTGAGTACAGTTTTCCCTTAAGTACGCATCAGAACTTTTTTTTCACTAAATGACTAGATTTGTGTAGTTGTTAGGTGTTCTAGCTAAACTATTAGATTTCTTTTGTGTTTTAATTTGTAATAGTTATCTATGTACTTCTACTTGGTTCCTAACACATGATGTTTCTTCACAGTTGCTCTGTGAGCAGGTATCTGTCCACCAAGTTGGGGTGGAGAAACTAAAGAAGGCAGCGGAAGGTCTCCTTGATGCCAAAGGCGGGCTCCTGCTAAGTAAAGATGAAATCCAAAAGCCACTTGGTACTGAATCTTTTTAAACTTTACTCTTTGTTTTACTGTATTTAATTGCCCAGGTCAGCATCAGAACAGCAAGTGAGTGGAAATCTCTCCAATGGGCAAATCATTTGTTTTAGTAAAGTAGAGAAGTTCAAACTGTCAGGTTTTTGTTGGTGTTTGTTCTCTTGAGAGATTTCTGCTCATTTCCTGTTCTCATGACAGGTGGTTCCCTGTGAGAGGAATCCTTCCTGGTAAGGACACAGACATCAATTAGCAAGTGTTAAAAAAGAAGGTAAAGGTAATCTTTTTTTCAGATTTGGATAGAGCAGAGAGGGATTAAAATGCATGTCAGGTTTGTATTGCTGTCTGTGTCCCCATTAGGGAGGTTCATGGCTCACTATTTGTCCTGGTGACCATTACCACCTAGGGTGAAAGTGGAAGAAAATCACACATTTTGAGTTGTCACCAGAACAGGAATCTTCCAATGGGGACACTGGTTCTGGTGACAATGATGGATTTCCCATACTTTGATGCGATTCCTCTCACTTCTAGTTGTGGCTATGGGAGAGGAAGTGACGGGAAATCTCCCTTATGGGACATAAATGGCAAAACAACTGGCAGGAGTTATTACCCTTTAAAATACTTAAAGCTGAAACTTCTCTTTGTTGATTAAAAACCTCCTAAAGTCTACTTTATAAATTGCATGGGCATTAGCCACCTTTATTACAGATCCTTACCTGTTCTGTAGCTATTGAGACAGATCATTGTGTTGTACTATAAAACATTCCAGGAGCTATTTAAGTCACTCCCAATTTTTTAAAAAGGGAGAGCAAGTGATAAAAAAAGGTCAACGTTGAATGGGTCAAAACTGAACCAAAAATCAGCATTCTCTTAACCACTTTAGTCCCAAGGCCTTTTTCTCCCTTAAGTCCCAGATACATTTTTTTTTCATTGCAACCAACCCTAATGTATTATATACATCATTTTTGGGGGGAACGGATAGGTCTCTAATTTGGTAGAAAAGAAATGCATTTTTATGTAATTTCTCCCAACACAACGTTTATTTAATTTGCACATCCCTTTATATTTACCCCAAAATATGACCACAAAGTCTGATGATTAAAATGACATCACATTACTTGGACTTTTATGTAATGTAGCAGAATGGTAACACTCAAAGTGAACGTATGAGTTATTCTTTAGAAAAGTCTTATTCCCCTTTTGGTTGTACATTGCGACGCATGCACAGGTAAAAAAAAGGTTTACATAAGTTCTTAGCATAACATTAATATAAGATTAAGTTGGGTTGATGATAGCACAAATAAGGCTATACTTTTAAAACAACGTTGGGATGTATAGCTGCAATCCCAGCATCATTTTCAAGTGGCTGATGGAATTCCAGTGACTAAGTCACCTGGCTGAGAGCGAAACAGACATCATCATAGCATAGATGGTAAAAATGTTGCTCTGATTACACACTTTATCCTTGATACAACAAATATATCTACTCCAGGAATGATAACATAATACATATCATATACACTGAGTGACCAGATTATTATGACCACCCCATCAGTACTTCGTTGGGCCACCTTTCGCCTTCAATACTGCGGCCATTCTTCTTAGCATTGACTCCACGAGATGTTGAAAGGTGATGCGAGGAATCTGACACCATGCCTGATAAATAGCACTGTCCAGTTCTGTGAGATTTGATGGATGTGGAACCAGCTGCCTAATGGCTCTTTCAACTTCGTCCCACAAATGCTCAATTGGATTGAGATCTGGTGATTGTGGGGGCCACCTAAGCAAGGTAAAGTCTCCCTCATGTTCTTGAAACCACTCCTGCACAATACGAGCACCGTGGCATGGCGCATTGTCTTGTTGGAAGAAGCCATCTCCATTGGGAAACGCCATCAACCTGCTTCCCTATTTATAATGGTCTGGCCCTCTAGCAACTTCAGCGCAAAATTATAGCTAATTTGCCTACAAACGTCAGGTGGTCATAATAATCTGGCCACTCAGTGTATACTGTAGGTGATAATCCTCTAGCAATAGCAACCCTAGGGATTTTGCTGGGAATGTCACATTACATGCAACTGACTGGCTGTAAGTTGACTGGAAGGTCTGGGAGAGTCAGACCATTAAACCATAATTTATATAATTTTAGCAGTTATATAAAGTCATGGTTAGCTTCAGATAGAAAATCATTTTGAATAATATCAAAATACAAAATAGCTTGTGTGCAATCATAAATTCTATTAATTTTTCGGTAAATGGTAGTCTTTTTGTAATGATACAACCTGGTGAAACGCTATATATGTAGGTCCAACACTACTTCTGTAGTTTTACAGACGCAGTAACAGACTTTTAACTCATTTGGCTTATTACACCAATTATACAAAGCATACTGGTATCCCTGTAACTATAGTGCTGCCAATATGCATGTTCCGGGTGCATTATTACAAGCCTTTGCAACTTTCAGCATCAGCCTGGTGTTTTAAGAGACAGTGAGCCAAACCCCTTACCACAAAACATCAGTTTGGTGCTTAAAGCCCACCTGGAGAAGGTGGGGTAATCCACTGAGTTTATGTGTAAATTAAAGGCATAATCAAGCCTTTTGTAATGATCTATCCATCACTTAGTATGAAATCTACTGTGCACTGCCTATCTGGTATGCTCCCCATAGGAACCACACCTTCCCACAAAAAACAATAGAAGTCAGCTAAAATGTACTAGCGGCCTGATTCATGTTTTGCTTTCTTAATGCTATAGTTTACAACTGTTTTCATTCTGTAAATTGACTCAAGATTGCTCTAAAATGCTATTTTCTTCTATGGGCTTTTTAAAAAAGTAATATATTCTAAATCATTTTTGCAGATGACATTGTGGGAAAATACAATCATTTATCCCAGTCTGTGAACGATTGGAATGAGAAACTCCAGATAACTCTTACTCGCTCGCTCAGTGTTCAAGATGGACTGGATGAAATGTTTGATTGGATGCAAGGGGTAGAAAGGGACCTTAAAGAGCAGCAACACGTGCCATTAAATTCCTTCTCTATTCAGGAAATTATTGCAAAAAATAATGTAAGTGTGGGTATCATGCTACGTAATCACAAGCCTTCTGCTAATATCTGAACAAATAATAGCTTTATGCTTTGAGATTCCAGAAAGCTAGATGGTAATTCAAAACACACTACATAGGGCAAGATCTCCTCTTAGTTAATTGACTGATTTAAAAAAAACATTAAGGCCAGCCAAAGCCAGTTCATTCATAGGAGTCAGTTTAGCTGTGGGTAATTCAATTTTGTGTTACTATAAACACACAGGCACAGCAAGGCAAGATACTCCCCATTCATTCTTCCACTTTCCTTCCGTCTCCTTTCTCCAAGCTAGTAGATGGAGAGCTACTGAACACTGCTCTCTCCCTTGTGATCTTGTACTGGACAGGAAGTTCAGGGAAGCTGAGCTAAGACAGTTGGAACCAGCTGCTATATTTTTGTATATTTATTTGATCTGGATTCATTATTGAAAAAAGTTTGAGAGTTTAATACCACTCTAACTCTTCTTTCTGTTATTAGATGCTTGAACAAGACATCACAAGTCGTCAGAGCAGCATTAATGCAATGAATGAGAAAGTGAAAAAATTTATGGAGACAGCAGATTCCCCCACTGCATCTTCTCTGCAAGGAAAAATGAACGAACTGTGTGAACGTTTTTCAAAGGCTGGGGAACTTACCAGAGCACGCCTAGAGAAAATGGAAGACTTAAGGAACCAGGTGGAACAGTTTGAGGACCTCTCTGAAAAAATGCATTCATTCTTGGAAAAAAAATCAAAGGCGCTGATGGAGGCAGATGGACCTGGAAAGGATGTGACAGAGCTCTCTCAGTACATGCAGGTACAACATATTAGTGTCAATGTTACCGGGTAGATGAAGCTGAAAAATACAGGCCCCATTGAAAGTGAATTCTGATTCTATTATTGTTCTATCCGAGTGAGGCAGATACAAACCTCAGACTGGAGAACAAAAATCCCATGTTTGACCCTATTAGTAGCAGTCAGGTTATTTCCCTGGATCAGTCACTTATCTGATCACTCCTGCTAATTAAAGGCGGAGATGCCATTTAATCCACATCTAAGTTCACTTATACTGTTGAACATTATCACTTCATTAGGCAGGAAGTCTAATCAATCTTACAACATCATCCTTGTAGAAAACTGTTAACAGTTAAGAAGTTCTAACCTTATGTGAAAAAAAAACCAGTTCTTTCTGCTCACACCAGCCATTGTAGATGAATCTTCTTTTAGTTAAGGTAAGTGGCCAAAAGGCATATGTAACAAGTGAAGAAAATAAGATTACCTTTCTCTGTGATAGGAAACAACCAATGAGCTGCAGGAGCACAGGAAGAGCCTGGAAGAGTTACACAGACTGGTAGAAGAATTGTGTGTACATGCTCTCCCTGGAGACAAGGCCCAGGTTTTGGAAAAAATGAACTCCTTGTCAAAAATGTTTCAGGATCTTGAAGAGACTGTTAGGGCTAAGTAAGTACAATCATGTCACAATATATTTAGGAAACAAATCAGTTAAAAATAGGCAACAATGTTTTTAAAGTATATTTCCACTATTGCAGTCAAGTTTGAGAACCCACCACTATATGTTTGTCATGTGTTCCCATTCACACAGCATTCCTAAAAACAATAAAAAAAATATGCCCTACCTTTCTGGATGTCTCTTTAGAACAGGCTTATACATGGAACACTACAAGCAGCTTCTATTGCTTACAATAGATGTTAATGTGCTGATGAGGGACAGACTGGAGGGACAGTTTAAAAAAAAGTTCATTAACATTTTATGTACCACCCAAGCCTTGAGCCTTTAACCCTTTGTTGGGGAAGACAGGCCTTCACATCTAGCTTACAACTGACAATGGAGATCTGCTAGCGCAATATAAACAAGGTCAATTTGGGCAAACATTACTCCCCAGCCCCCTCCTTAATATTACATAGAAGGGAAAGTTAAATAAGATTTTTCAGCAGGCAAAAAGGTAAGCAGCAAGTTTGAATTTTATATAACAAATATAAAATTGTTGTTATCCGAATTTGGCTTCAAATGTAGAAATACACTTTAAAGCACATGAATACAGGCAGAACCAATAATGTCAGTCATGCAACTGACACTAAACAGTGCTTACCTCCCTTAGAGCAAATGTTATAGTCAAGCCTCCCCCACAGCAAATTTTCCATTTTGTTTATGCAGTTAAGGGGTGTACTATAGGTAAATGATTTAACATTATGTATCCAACACTCAATAATAAGCATTTAAAAAAAAATATATATGTAATTACTGTATGACAGGTGACGCATACATTTAATAAACTAGCATTTCATATTAAACACAGCATTTCAAAGTGACTATCCTATGAGACACAAAACAAAATAATTATTTTTATGTTCACTACACATAAAACATAAAATGTTTTGCCTAAAGTGGAAGTCAAAACAACATTTTGTTTTTCTTTGGATAGACTAGGTATGTGTTAGAAACACTGTCAGGTTTTATTGCTGTCTGTGTCCAAGCAGAAAAGCTTTCCACCTATAACCTCTTCTGACTGGTGCACAGGAAAGAAAGTGGTAAGAAATCTCACCAACATAGACACCGACAGGAATCTTTTTGGTTTTGTTTTCGCACAGTGCACAAGGATTACTACTTGTTAGTTTTATTTTACTTTCTGTTTGTTTGTTTTGTGTAGCTTTCCCTTTTTCCGTGCAGGAGACAGGGACCATCCGGCTAACAAATGAGGGGAAACTTATCCCCAATGAGATGGACAAAACATGTCACAAATTGTAACTCTTGCCCACTTTTTGGCTTGATTTCCACTTTAGATCTCAGGCAGCATATGTGAAGCATTACTAAATAGCTAGTTGCCTAAAAAAATGGTTCACTAGGTATTGCATTCCATTCAATCACTTTTATTTTAAATACTTATTTATTTTGAATTAGGAATCACCCTTTTTAAAATAAAATGTAGAATGATTGACCCATTGGTTAAAATATGTTTCCTTAATTGTGCCTTTTACTTATATATTTAGGGAAGAGGATGTATCATCCTGTCAAAGTCAAATGAACTCTTTCCAGTCTTTGGTCCAATCTTTGAAACACTGGTTCACAACAGTAAATGGTAAAATTCCTCTGGCAGCACTGACACTGTGCTTGAAAGATCTGTCTGAACACTTAAAAGAAACAAAGGTGAGATCTTACATGCTGGAAACTGAGAGATGGTGATGGGTACTGTGAAATGCAACCATTTGAACTTATTCACATACTTTACACATTCATATTCATAGGGTTTGCAGGTAGAGTGGACACAGAAGTCACCGGAAGTACAAAAAGTAAACAGCAAAGGAACAGCATTGTGCAGCTTGATTGCTGCAGTGACCTCACCTGCAAAGACCAGATCGACTGCCAAATCAGGTATGCAATCTAATGACAATATAAAATTAAAATATATTTGCATATCCACGGGCTGTATAAAACAAGAACCTACCTGGGCTATGTAAATTAGAGTATAGACACAAATATATTGAACAATTGGAACGAGAGCCTTGCTATAAAAAAGATTACAGTCGAAAAGGATGAAGAAAAGACAAGGAGGCAGAGAAAGACAGAGATTCGACAGCACAAACTGTGAACAAAATGTGGGAACTGGGAATATATTGGGTAAAGTAGATGATAGGTGTGAGACCTCTAAATATATTGCCGCCTACAGGATAAATGGACACAAAGCACATAAAAATCTAGAGGTTAGCCCAGAGGCTATAACCCTCTAGCAATGGAGCTAGCTAGGCCACCTAGAAGCTATAACTTTTCCTACACTGCTCCTGCTCACTTTTGCTTAGTGTCCTTAGTAGAATGGATGTCTCTTTCCTTTTCCTGCTATATTTTTTAGCCCATGAGCGCAGGCTTCCCAGTTCATTAAACTAGAACTCTGATCAAAATAAAACGTAACCCTTTTAGTGGGGCTACTCCCGCACTGCAAGGGTTAAGTGATTTTTTCCATCTAGGATGTAAAATAGTAAAGATATACTCACTCAAACCCCAGTCCTGCCTGGCTCTTAGACTGGTCCCTGTAGTCTTTCTACCCCCTCTGTTCCAGCAATGGAATGTCCCTAGGCAGTGGAACAGTGTATTAGATGTGATCACTTACGGATCCTTAGACGCATGTTGCTGCCCCTGTTAGGCCGTCCCTTCAACTGTGGTGTTAGGCCGTCCCTTCAACTGTGGGATCTAAATTTAGTTTTGTTGGTGCTTTAAAGACTCCACTTGAACCTATTTAAGATATTCCCTGGTCATTGCTATTTCTTTAGTAGCTGTTCTGGTGGCGTTTAGCATTTTCCTGTAAGGGGCCCCAATTGATCTTATGTAGAGATAAGGTTGTTTTGAGGCCATGGATGTTTTTCTTGTCCAAAGTGGTCTATAATTTGTATCTTAGTAAAAATATTGTGTTACCCACGTTATGTCCAGCACCAGTTCATCCCAAGTAGATTACTTTCCATTGTTTGGATGTTGTGAGGGCTGTCAGAGTTTACCTTTTTTTATACAGATTGATCCCCTGTTTGCCATTCTAGATGGTCCTAAAATTTTGAAAGTTCATTCAATGGGTTATTGTGCAGGCTTATGAGCTGCGAGATAAGGTGCCTCCTTTTCCTGTTAAAGCCTACTCCACTAGGGTAGTTAGTGTCTCTTGGGCTTTTCATCATTAGGCCACTGTGTCTTAAATCTGCAGTCTGTTTTTCTGTACAAAGACAATGCGTTTGCCTCTACAGATGCTAATTCCATCTGAAAGATTCTGCTGCTGGCTCTTTATGCCCTTTTCCCCCTTTGTTTGTTTTTTTCTTGTTGGGCCAGTTCACCTGTGTTGTTTTGGTGCGCCCACACCTTCGTTCCCCTCAATTTTAACTGCTTTTGGGCATCCCCAGGTTGTATAAACTCAAGATTTGTCCTTCTTTGGAGAATAGGATTTTTGTACTTATTGTAAAATACTTTTCATTGAGTCCATTGAAGGACATAGCTCCCTCCGCTCTCATGCTGTCATTCTCTCCTGTTTCCTACAACTGAGCAGGATTGGTGTGGAAGGGGTCATAGCCTCTAGGGGGGCTGACGTCCAATGTATCTTATGTATCTAGTGTCCATTTCTCCTGTAGGCAGCTTTAAAACTGTAGATTGCATAATGTCAAGCGGTGGCCCTCAATGGACCCTGAGAAAAGGACTTTATAGTGAGTACAAAAAACCTATTTTATTAAAACTTAGTTTTCAAGAGTGTATTTACTTCAGATTGCTGATCTCCAAGTAGCTACTACATTATGGTATAATACCAGCATCTTACGCTCCTGTTAGCAATTGGAAACGAAAGATGCTGGGTCCATTTAGACTGCATGATTTTAAATGTGCACATCACAAAGCCTTATTGTGTAATGTTTACTTTTATTGCTCTGAGATGTATATACGTTGTTGATCAGCTCATACTGTTAGATACTTTCTTTATCCCAGTTTACAAACTGAAAAATGCAAGCTTGTTTTTTCCCCCCTTATAGGTAGGGGCCTCGTTAATGGATCCACTTCATCTGCTGCAAAAGAACATTTAACAAATAAAGGTAAGATACTTCTAAGCTTGGAAAAGCGGGGCTTATGCAATAATTTTTTATATATTGCATAAGTTAAACATCTGTGGCTTTCAAACAAGCCATCCCTGACCTCTTTTGCTGCTTTTAATATGAATTTATGTTTTCTCAAAGATCTTCAAATAACACAACAAAGATGCTAGAGTGATGTTTCAGTCAGTCTGTAACTGTTTAGAAACACCTGCTGGTTGTTTACATTAGAGAGAGAAAAAAAAGCTAGGATTTCAAAATTGTGAACTTTGTGTTGTGAAAATGTATATAATCACAGTGCTTATAGATACAAAAATCAATGAGGGCTCATTTCAAAGTGCTTTTATGCTTGAAGAGAATATATAAATGCTTTAGTAAGCATGATCTGGGCATTGGTTGACTTTAGAGTGACCATGGCCTGGCTTGAAATGTTTCTAAGTTAATAAGAATGCTAAAGAGCAGGCACCATGTGTTGCCTATAAGTACCTATGTCAAATTCCAGAATTTTAGTGGGCAGAATAATTACTGGTATTTGACAGAAGAATTAACTTTGGGCTTGGGTGAGGCTTAATATCAACCCGGACAACAAGGAAAGTCCCCTGGATACCCCGAGGGATTCTGAGATGAAATTGAAGATTGATATTTGTGCTTGTAGGCATCATAAAACGTCACCCCTGTTATTACCTTAGAAATGTTTTAAGTGAAGTTATAAAGTGAATTAATTCTTCTAAATTACCACTAGATGGAGTTGTTGGCATACCAGTATGATGAATTAGCTTCAGAATCTTGTGACTGGCCATTAAAACTGCTGGTTTAGAAATTCCTACTGCTTTTTCCAGTTATACCATAAAATAGTGAATATACTGTTCAGTTTTGATTAATTACTCATCAAGGTGTTTTTAGTCGGTTTACAAATTATCTAAAATCAGACTGTTAAATGTTCTGCAAATATAGTAATGCAAATACTTGCTTTGAGCTTCCATGCTGATTACTGTAGAGAGTTTTATTGCATTTCATCAGTGATCTGCTTTTCGCACCTCTCTATTGTGCTCTTTTTTCCTTAATGCAGTAGGAATAGGTTACATTTAGTGTGTTGTTTTAAGGAAACAGAGTATTTAAAATGACACTAAATTTAGGAGTAAAATCTTAAAAATGCATTGAAATACCTTAACTATTGACAAAAATGTATCTTATTTGTATATCACTCAGCTGTAGATCCTCAAATCATCTATGAATTGGTCCTGACACTGTCATTCCTTCTGGAGCGGTGGCTACTTTTGTTCCCCATGGTCCCTGTGTGTGTTGTAAAGTAGCCACCGCTCCAAGTCCACTCCTGTGATGGACTACAATCTCACATTTAGTTTACTAATTTTTATTGAAGTTATAGTCCATCATGAGAGTGAGCTTGGAGCAGTGTCTACTTTACAACACGCACAGGGGAACAAAAGTAGCCACCCTTTTGTTCCCCATGGTCCCTGTGTGTGTTTTAAAGTAGGCACTGCTCTAAGCTTGCTCCCATGATGAACTGCAATCTCATGTTTAGTTTCCTAATTTGTATTGGGATTGTAGTCTGTCACTGGAGTAAGCTTGGAGCAGTGGCTACTTTACAACACACACAGGGACCATGGGGAACAAAAGTAGCCCCCCTCCAGAAGGAAGGACAGTGTCAACACCAATTCAGAGATGATTTGAAGATCTAAAGTGGAGTGATACACAAATAAGATACAGTTTTGATAATAGTTAAGCTATTTCAATGCATTTTCATGATTTAACCCCCTGAGTTAGTGTCACCTTTAATGTTATATAAAAACACTGTACACCAGGGGTAGCAAACCTCTGGCCCTCCAGCTGTGGGGGAACTACAAATCCAATGAGGCATTGCAAGATTCTCACAGCCACAGACATGACTCCCGAAGAGAGATGCATCATGGGATTTGTAGTTTCACCACAGCTGGAGGGCCGGAGGTTTGCTACCATTGCTGTACACTGTATGGCAGTGTCCATCTAAATAATGTTTTTTTCTTCAAAATGAAACACCAAGACCACACATGAATATACATTGTTGTATATTAAGAATCATTTTTATTATATTTATATAAGAAATGTATGTATATATATATCTATTATGCTTAAGTGGATTCATTTTAAAGCTTTCTCTTTTTCTGTAGAATTGACTGTAGTGCAGAAGGGAATGACAGATGTTAATGAAGGCTATGAACATTTGGGCAAATTGCTAAAAGATAAAATCAGTGAACTGGAAGCTCGCCTCTCTCTGCTGCAGCAAATTCAGGATGAAACCAACTCATTGACACAGTGGCTTGAGAAAATGCACACAACTGCTACATCATGGGAATCACCTACAGATATCGAATCAGTCCGAACTCATGTCGAGCAGCATAAGGTACTGTATCGTTAAACTGTTTTGATTCTAACATGTTGTACAGCAGATGGTTCACACACATAGGGGTCTATTCACTAAGCTGCCGTAGGCAGCCGAGTGAACTCGGCTGTTCTTCTCGGTCTCTCTGTGGGGCCGAGCAGAACAGAAAAACAGTTACAAAAGTAGAAAAATAAAAATAGAAAACGATTGTGCGGAGCTAGCATTGACAGCTAGCTCCGCCCAACAGTTTTCTATTGGCCAGCGGTTCTGCTGCCGTCAAAAAAAAGAAAAAAAGCCTAACACTCCCGGGCGCTCCGGGAGTCTCCCGCTCCCGGCCGCCAAGGAGAGAAACACTGCTTTTTCAATTTGAAATACCCAATAGCAAACTAGCATTGTACCCGCCCTCTGCTGCTGTCAATCAGTAGTGAACCTGATGGAGAACTGCAGCAGAAGGCGGGTGCAATGCTAGTGTGCTATTGGCTATTGCAAATTGAAATAGCCAATAGGAATCTAGCAATGCATTCCTATGGCCTAACATTTTTTTTACTTTTTCTATTCTGACAGGCTCAGTGTCAGAATAAGAAAAAAAAAGAAAAAGCAGTGTTTCTCTCCTTGACGACCGGGAGACTCCCGGAGCGCCAGGGAGAGTTTGCTGTCTGGATATCAGTGTCCTTGGTTAGCTGGTAACCAGGGACGCTGATCTCTCTGCAAGTAGCCGTAGCCAGCCGTAAGATCACAGCTGGCTCCGCCCAGCTGTCAGAAGCAGGCTGTCGACCGGCCGCTCGGCCAGCCTCGGCTTTCAGCGCGGCTCAGCCGAGCCGAGGCATATGCCGAACTGAGCCGCTCGGCCAAGTTCGGGAGCTGTACGGGCTATAGTGAATAGCCCATACAGCAGCCCTTCGGTTCTACTGAACCGAAGGGGTCCAGGGCCAAAGCTAGCCGAAGGATCGGCCGAAGCTACGGCTAGATCCTTTGGCTGCTTCGTGAATAGACCCCATAGTCTTGTCTGGTTGCACGTGCAGTAAGCATGGAACACATGAATACACCCTAGGTATACTCTTGGTTCACCCATAAAACAATGCTAGATCTCCATATGGGACCATTTTGCAAGTAAATCCCTGAATTACACTGCTTCAGGAGCTCTAGCTCATCACCACCACTGGGTCTCCAGAAATACGCATTCACCTCCTTCATTTTAGACATTAGAGAGTCTCTAGATGACTAGAGGGTTCTATATACCAGTACCCTCCATGTTTAATCACCTCCACCTGCTTAGTAACATCCATGTTTTTTTTACAGTATGATGGTACAGAAGTGGTTAAACATGGAGGGTAGAGTGACTGGTATGTAGAACTCTCTCTACGGGCCGGAGCACACCTAGGCAACACCCCACCGCGTGGCAATCTTGCACGATTTTGCGCGGATTGCCGCGTGGTCATGAGTCACCCAGTTTGAGGTACCTTTTTTCTGTGATACATGACGCGCGGCTGTTTTAGCCACGATTGGGTTCGGAAGCACGGGCGGAATCGCGGTGGGAAACCACGCAATCCGCCCGGCACGACTGGGGTGCCATTGGAAAACAATAGCACCCACAGCGCGATCGGTGCACACCATGTATCACAGAAAAAAGGTACCTCAAACTGGGCGTCTCCTGTCCGCGCGGCAATCCACGTGCAATCGTCCACGATAGCCGCGCGGTGGGGTGTCGCCTTGGTGTGCACCGGCCCTTATGTAAATCTCTAAATTAATTGTTATAATGAAAACATGGAGGAACAAGCATGTAGAAAGTAAACACTTCTGTGACACATTATGTTAGCTTATCTTGGTGGGATTTTTACCATTTTATCAGCTTTCACTTCCATATTTATGTTATTATATTAAATACAGAGATGATAAAACTGCAATACACTATACTTTTCATTTAAATAAATAACGTTTTAAAAATTCTTCTGGCCACAAAGGATATCTCTGTAAAGGAGTTAATTATAGTGCAAACACTGCTATAATCACTGAAACAGATCTGTCTGATATGCACATCGTGAATAATACCTGCTAATGCTGACTTAATGCTTTAGCAGAGAGTAATCTTTGTACAAATCTCCATTTTGGCAGCTGCTCAACTTTATTCACTAATGTAACGAATGTATAACTCAATTAGTGAATTCCTTCTTTGCGCATGATTAACTTCTATACAGGCTAAATTAGCTGTAAAGCAGCTGTTGTAAATAGCAGTAATGCAGAACATCCATTGCACGCTATATTACTTCTGGGTAGAAGTGTAGACTGTGTGGACGCTCCCAGACACATTTACATTGAGTCTACAAAACTGTACAGTACAGGATGGTAGCTGCCCTGCTAACTTTACATTACCTTTCTATTGTTAATGTTAATTAAAGTGACACTAAACTCAGGAGTTAAATCCGAAAAATGCATTCAAGTACCTCAACATAGTTCTCCTTAGGGTAACGGGAGGACACAAACTAGCGTCCTCCCGTCACCCTAAGCTCAGTATGCCGCGAGCTACAGCTGAAAAGCACTCACCTCATAGTTCTCCTTTAACAATGGAGCTTATTTGTGTATCACTCATCTGTAGATCATCAAATTATCTCTGAAATTGTGCTGCCACTGTCCTTCCTTCTGGAGGGTGGCTATTTTTGTTCTTCATGGTCCCTGTGTGGGAATCAAAGTAGTCACAGCTCCAAGCTTGCTTCTGTGATGCACTACAATCTCACTACAAATTAGTAAACTATACGTGATATTGTAGTCCATCACAGGAGTGAGCTTGGAGCGGCAGTTACTTTACAACAAACAGGGAGCCATTGAGAACAAAAGTAGCAATCCCTCCAGAAGGGAGGACGGTGTCATCATGAATTCAGAGATAATTTGAGGATCAACAGCCGAGTGATACACATAATATATACATTTTTGTTACTAATTAAGGTACATGAATGCTTGTTAAACCCCTTCCTGTCCAGGCCATTTTTCAGTATTCAGGGCTGTTGTACTTGTAGCTCAATCCTGTGATGGGCTGCAATCTCACGTTTAGTTTACTAATTTGTATTGAAATTACAGTCCATCACGGGAGTGAGCTTGGAGCGGTGGTCAATTTACAACAAACACAGGGACCATAGGGAACATAAGTAGCCATCCATCCAGTGTCAGCACCAATTCAGATCTACAGCCGAGTGATACACAAATAAGCTACACTTTTGTTAATAGTTAAGGTATTTGAATATATTTTTAAGATTTAACTCCTGAGTCTAGTGTCACTTTATATGAAATTAAGTTTTTACTGCTGACTCTTTCCCCTCTTTCATGTTTTGATTCTCATTGTATGTTCCCTATAATACCAGTGGGATCTTTATATAGACAAAGCAAACAAACAGCTCACCTGCTCAAATCCGGCTCAGCTTCCCCAACGTGGTGCGAGGTCTGTGTGCATTTTACAAGATTAGCAATTTCCTGAACATGGTCAGCACTCCATGTTTTCAGATCCCATAAAAGTGAGCTTTATTTACTACTACTAAAAATTACATATTTACATCTCTCAGATTATTCTCAGTTTTCTATGCGTAAGAGCAGTTAGTTGGAAATACATAAGCAGTGTTTCTATTGTGCTTTTACCTAGCATGTGTAAAAAAAAAGTACACTTTTATGGGCCATAATATATATAGAGTGCTGGTCATTTCCATGGAACTGGGACCTTTGTTTACCTTTGCCCAGTGGGCTGAAGTATGAGATAGAACAGTGCTCAAAGAATACAATTACAGCTGAATAGTTGGGCTACAATGACAGATTCCACTAGCAGGTGGCATTGCAAAATTAGAAATAACGTGTCCAGTCGCTAATAAACAGTCAAAGAGAAGAAGCAGTAATGTATTTGTCCTGGGAAACGTTTCTCAATATTGGTCTGCTTTTTTTCTGTTTTAGGTGTTTGCAGCAGAAGTAAAACAGAATGAAAGCAAAGTGGAAGCCTTAAAAAGCAAGCTGAAAAGTTTCATAGAGAACAATTTGGATGCACCAGAGATTCAACACTGGGAGGACATCTCAAATAAAATAGGTATATTTATCTTGCTGAAACACCTCAATGCAGGCTCTAGGAAAAAAAAAACACCCTCCAGTTATTTATTTTTTAAAGATATGTTAAATGTATTTTTAAAAGTCTGCTAAATGCAAAAAAAATCTTTCTTTATATTATCTTCCCACAATTCCCTTCACAGAAGACATCAGACTGAGTGGGAAGGTATACATTGTGAGCCAATCATGCTTTACTGCATTGCACAGTAATGGAAAATATCAGATCTCTGTGACGCAAGGCTTTGTCAGTCTAGCCATCCTGACACTAACCACCCCTGCGTTGGAGAAAGATACAGTCAAACAGTTTTGTCTCTCTATTCAAACTAACACTTTTAATCCCTTTTACAAGAATTAGATTCTTGGAAAATGAAAATAATCCTTATTCTCATGACACAAACACTGCTTTAATAGAAGTGTTCTGTGCAATCCTTGCTTGACACTGTATTGTTTTTGCTAACTCCAGCAAGGCAGATAAGGGAGGGGATGGCGACATGGGGGATGTGACCACAAGATTGTCTTCCCATGGACTAAGCATGGGTATAATTAGAAGCCTAGGTAGGTATTGCTAACTTATATGTTATCTGGAGATCTGTGGCAGCAAACGATTCTGTTTGTAATGAGAACTTTCCCATTTTCCTTTCCAGTTTTTTTTGATTTTTTTTACTTATAGCTCAGGAAATGTTTTGCCAGCAAATGTTAGACAAGGTAAATGTCAGCAAATGTGTGGCTGGTGGTGAGGGTCTGCAGCTAATGTCCAGCAAATGTGCTCGTCAGGAAAATACTTTTTTTCAACGGATAGATGTGAGTGATTATTGAGGATTCTTGTTAAATAAGAGAGTTGGCAGATATATTTTAAAAGGTTGAGTTGCCCCTAAGGCTGTTTACTTATATTAGATATCTATACACAATAATTGATGAACCGAACACCCCCGTGTTCGGTTCGTATTCGAACGGTCGAAAAGTTTGAATACGAACTCAATGCAAGTGAATAGGGGTCGAACGGGTCCAGAGTTCTCCTAAATGTGCCGGCAGCCGCCGGTACATTTAGGAGGACTGTGGCTGCAGCGGCCTGTGTCCCTTCAAATCCTTGCTGCTCTCCGCGCCTGTGTTGGTGGAGACAGTGGGGACACAGACCATTGCATACCTTCGCTGCCCCCGGTACCTCTGCTGCTGTCCTGGCCTCCGGTCCCCTGGTCCGTCGGCTTCTTCTCCGATATGGTCCAGGTGTGGCTCCTCTAACCCGCCCCCCTGCCTCTTCTTCATTGCAGGCATTGCTATTGGATATTGTAAAATGCAATAGCCAATAGCAAGCTGGTTATTGCACCCACCCACTGCCTGCTGTCAATCAGCATGAGGGGACCTGATAGAGAACTTTCTCCTTCAGGCCCCTCCTCTGCTGAGCCCTGATTGGGCAAAGTCTTGCACCTGACCTGCGGTCAGGTGCAAGACTTTAACAAATCAGAGCTTCAGTGGGCATTTTGCATTATAGAATGTCCGCGGTCGAACAAACTGTGAACATCCCATAAAGTTTGGCGAGCGCTCAAACTGCCGATGTTCGAATCGAACACTCGGCTCATCCCCATACACAATTCCCCAATTTTGCTCACACTGTGAATTAATGGAATGTATGAGAGCACTCTGCAACCTCTGCAGACACTTTTGCTGATCTCAGTGGAAAAAAAATCCAAGATGGATTGTTGTGGGTGATTGCTATTGTCTCTCAGAGATAAGGCCAGTATCTGCTCAGTGCATAAACATGCTTGTTCCGTTATATGATTGTGCATGCTTATGACCCTTACATTCTGTGCATTGTGTAACATCGTCTGGTCGCCTTCTCATGTCTATGTAATCTTTGGCTAGCCTAACCTTTGTTCTTTCACCCTTTTGTGGTTACATTCTTTTCCATTTTTATGTAAGAATGATATAATACCAGATGGTAATAATTTTACAATGAGGTAATACAGCTGACAGCCACTAGGATGCCTATAGCCCCTGCAGCTTCAGTCCTGATCCTAAATAAAGAATGCTTGTCTAAGCCTGTATTTCACTACTGGGACCATTACTTTTCTGTGTTTATTATTACTAGACATTTTCCTTTTCCATTGTGTGTGGGAAGGATTATAGATAGCAAGGAACTATTAATAATAAGTCATTCCGTTTATGCACTATCATCTAGATAAGTTCAGAAGCACCGCTGTCAATGTGTTTATTATAGATTATTTGAAAAATACAAGTATAGAGGTGCATCTGGCGTTTTTGGAGCTCCAGAGTGAGACATACAGCAACACAGTCATTCATAATATGGGATTTCTATAGAATGCTTGTCTATTAGTATATGTGACAAGGGTAATCCTGAAAAGACAGATATGTATAAATTGTCAGGCCAGATTCTATATATTTACAATATGATGTATTAGTTTGATCTGCAGACAGAGTAGTCATAAACCTGGTGTGCTGCACATGAACTGGTTATATACTGTGAATAAATGCACTGACCAAGATGAATGAACTGAACAAATCCAAGCTGTGATAATAAAACATGGTTATGGCAGTTATTGGTATAGGCATCCTCCGTCTATAATTTGCTGTGCTAAATTCCAGTGCACAGGAGTCTCCCATGTTAGGTCCCACATTTTATGACCAGAGGAAATGTAATGTTGTGCATATTCAGCCCTTTACATTTTATACTAATGTTGAGTATAGACTTTGATATGCATTGATGAGTAATTGCATAATTTTAGGTTAAACATTTTCTGTGAGTGTGACCACCATGTCTACATGTAAGACTATGTTGTCTGCCTTAAAATGTAAAATAGTGTGTGTTAGAATACATAAAATATGTATTTTTTTTATTGTTATGAACTGATCATTATCCAAGCTTCATTTATAGAAAGGCACAGTAGACTTTAGATTGTCACTGTCTACCTAGATTATAAACCTCCTTTGATTTTCATTCATACCTGTTGCAGTGTTACAAATCAAACATTGATGCGATAGTCTTCTGACGGGTTTAGTTGAGATAGTTGGGCTGATTTACTAACGGTGTTGAGAAAGTTCACTCAAAATTGTGGGAATATTCATTCCAGTTATCCAGTCATGTGATAATCATCTGCACATAAGTTGATATTCAAAGTGAAATTTGCTTCCTACATAATTGGATAATTGAAGTGAATATTCACACGATTATTGAGTGTAGACTCTCAATTTCTTTAATAAATCACCCTCATTATTTGTTCATTGCCTGTGTGCAGTAAGAGAAGCCATAAGTGACAAATGCCAGCCCAATCTGAGTATTACTTCAACAGTTATGGCCATTTTAACTTTCCCTAAAGGACAGTGATGAAAGATTGTGACTACCAGAAGGATTCATTATTGCAGATGGGTTTTCTCAAAAACCCCAGCACCTCCTGGCTCCAGGAATGTATCATATTAGGAACAGCTTACATTAACTTCAGAACAAAAAGGTTCCCAGATAGTCATATTAGATATGTACATACATATTAAAGTAAACCCCAACAACACAAATTTAATATAAGCTTTAGCAGGCTCAAGTAATTTTTAATACTCACAGCATTTTTAAATCTTTAGCTTACTTCAAAAAAAAAAATACTGAGTGATCCTGCAATGAAGGTCCTTGCTCAGGCACTACCTGTTATGGGGTGGCAGTGCTCTGTTCATGTCTTCCAATTGCTCGGCACTATAACCCTGTCACTAGGCCTTTCCATGGAGACTACAATAGGCCATTTCAATACCTACTGCACAAGCACGGCCCTCTGTTGCCACCATCAGGAAACCAGAAATACTGTGCAGCCTTTGCAGGAGTGCATGCATGTAGATAGGAAGTAGCTGCAAATTGGTTGCAGGAAATCAACAACACTGAGATGCAGCAAAGATTGATTACAAATTGCAAACCAGTAATTTATTAGAACAGAAAGGCAATTGTTTATGTGGCAGTGCTTTAGCACACTACATTTCCTGATTTAGGAACTACATCTACTTTTCATTTAAATAGTTTATGGAGGATTTAGATATATATAATAGATGTGTATGTTTCTGTGATCGCTAGCCTAGACACGTTATGGGCATAAATACCACATTGCAGATTGTTTAAGTTATAGTGGAATGGATGCACTGCAAGGGTTATATGCCTCGCTCCCACAAGCTTCCTCCTCTCCCTGCAACCAGTTGCCCGAAGATGTTTTTCTCAGGCACTCCGCCTGCTGCAGGCATGTAAAATGCAGGACCAGCAGTCTTGCATTGTAAGTGAGGATGCCAAGGGCCCACCTACAACCTGGAGTGCCGGAGGGAAGAGGAGAGCAGCAGTTGCTGATGGAGCGCGGCATAAGGTAATTAAAAGTGATTTTTAATGATAATGTAGGCCCAAAAAAAAGAGCATTTGACCCTTGCAGTGCAGGGAGCCCCACTGCAAGGGTTGTTTTTTAATGTCCCTGTTCAACTTTAAACATTAACAAAAATAACCCGTAAGACATATACCATGATGAAAGCATCAATAATTTCTATGTAGAATAAACTAAGCATCCTGTTAATAAAGATCCACAAAATATTTGCTTTTCTATTCACAGCACTAAACCCTGAAGTGCTCCTAAATTTCCCTAGTTTTTTAGAACAATACAGCAAGTCCAGTTGCCTTGACTTATTTTGTACAGATAGAACCAAGATCTATTATCTCTATTTTCACACTCTTACCTTCACTTTCCTGTTGCAGCAGTTTTGCATTGTGTCCTGGTCTGACACACTTCTCTGCAATACAATTATGTGTGAGAACACTCATGCTAAGGACTGTGCCTGTTACTCAGCTGTGCTAGCATAGAACGCTGCAATGTGAAGGCATGAAGCAGCTTTTTTACTGTGAAAAAAGGAATTTGAAAGAATTTCGAAACAAACATTATTACATTCAGGGGTCCTTTTTTGGGTGTTGCACAGAAATGAGCTTTAACATTTCAATACCTGTCAATGTCTCCTGTTGCTGTGTGTAAAAGTTTTCACTTTGTCTTGTTGCTGCAGAATCCTCCTGGACAGAGATCACCCAGATGACAGCTGAAAGACAGCAAACCTTAGAAGAAGCATCAAATGACCTGGCCCAGTTCCAGGCAACCGAGGCCCAGTTAAAGCAATGGCTTGTAGAGAAAGAACTCATGGCAAGTGTGCTTGGGCCACTTTCAATAGATCCTAATATGCTGAAAACTCAGAAACGGCAAGTTCAGGTAAGCCAAGCATTCACAGCACACATCTGATCATTTTCTCTACAGATTTATCACGCTCCTACTTTTATTCTCTGCCAAGAACATGTCACATGTTTTTTTTATTTTTATTATTATTTAGTGCAGGGAGATGTAACGCTTCCTTTAACAGTCAGTGTATTAGAAAGCAGGCACATCTTTGATGATAAGGGAGTCTTGGTCTCAGTGTGCTTTCTGCCTGCGCTGAGCAAGTCCTCTTTACTGTTGAAAAAAAACAGGGAAATCACAATATATTTGACAACATGCAAAACTTGTCTAGTGCTCATTGAAACTTAGGGCCCATTCACATCATGCATTGTACTGCACTTGGCAGCCTTGTCCGACTCAGTCCCAAAACACAGACAAGGCAATTGCCTTATTTCGTATTAGTTCAGTTCACACCACCACCCCGTGGTATTGTGCACTAAAAGAAAAGTAGGACGCGCTGCATTTTTATGCAGCTCGGCAATTTATGACATACTACACCGCTGTCAATGAACGTCGGTCCATAAACATTAAAAAAATGTAATTTGTGACACTTCAAACAGTGTGATGCTTCATTACAACACACCGCTCCTTTTCAGTGCACACCAGCATCCTCGGTATAATGAATGCTGCTGTTGGGAATGGGCTCCTAAAGTTAAAGACACAGGTTTATAATGTGCATGTGATTAAGATGTATGAATGTAATAAAATCCTAGAGTCATGTTACAACCATGAGGCATAGTTAGATAGTAGGTAGGGTTGAATAAAGACACAGGCCCATCCTGTTCAACCTATGTGTGTGTGTGTGTTTCTCTGTATCTTTATATTCTAGAGCTGCAGCTAACGATTATTTTCAAAATCGATTAGTTAGTCGATTATTAGGTTCGATTAATCGGTTAATCATCTATATATATATATATGTATATTGTGGTCCCCATTAATGATTTTGAAAATCGCAATTAGGTCCCCTCCTAAGCGCTTCTTTTCTAAGGAGAATAAATGTAATTTCTCGAGGTGATTTACATAACTCAGACCTTCCATCCCCTTTATTAATTTTGTAGCCCTTATCTGAACTACCTCGATTTCTTGTAGTCTTTCTGGAGGGTTGGTGACCTAAACGGAACTGCCCTGCTGGCCGCTGCTTGGCATTGCATACTATTGCTGGATCTATGAGGATCCCCAGGTCTTTCTCCATGCCCGTCTTCCCCAGCGGAGCACCCCCTAGGTAGACGTTTGCGCATAGGCATGTGCACCGGCAAAAAATTTATTTAGTTTAGTTTCGTTTTTCTTCGAGTGTTTCCTTGTTTCGTTTTTCGGGATTTGGGTCTGAAAGTCAATGCGTTTCGGCATTCGGATGAAGCCGAATTTTCATTCATTTCGGATGAGCTAAATGAGAATAACGAAAAAAAATGTGTTGCCTAAAAGTGTCATTAAATGTTTACTTTGTTTCTTTTTAACTTTTGACAATTCACTTTCCCCTTCCTTTTCATACCAGACCCTTTAGGTCTAGTAGGAATGTTAGGGGGGATGCAAAAATAAAAAACACCCTACAAAAACCAATAAATACTTACCGCTCTCTGCCCGATGCATTGTTTACATCAGGCATTGGGCAGAAATAAACTAAGCCTGCTATTGGCGATTTCAGATTGAATAGCAGGGACCGAGCAGAACAGCCAAGCCGAATGCCGCTGTTCGGCATCTTTAAGATTAGCCCGAACAGCAGTGAGAGGCTTGCCAGAAATGTCGTTGATGTATAAAATAAAAAGAATTGGTCCAAGACTGAACTCTGCGGCACCCCACCCCACCCTTTGGATCCGATCATGCAACCAGTTTTCCACCCATGTACATACAATTTTATCCATACCGATAGATCTTAGTTTGTAAATTAAACGTTTGTTGGGTACTGTATCAAGTACAGTAGGCATGCATACTCATCACAGGTCAAGCAGACACATAGGCACCATGAGAATATGATCCTTACTAAGTATAGTGCCAAATTATTCATCGCACTTAGACATATTTCTCTCAGTACAGTTTGCCTCTTGTGTTGAGTTGCTTTGCCTCCGGCAGCCCATGCAAAGTGATTTAGGTGTCAACATGCTTCAACGCACAAAAAAATGGGCCCTGTGCAATTTGTTTTGACACCAATCCAAAAATAAGCAAATATTGTGTTGTGCACTATAAAACAAGTGAGTTGTGGCGTACTGTAGATTGCTTTGAGGGCAAAATAACTTTGCATTTTAATACACTGCAACACACTTCTACAACCTGTGACCGTACTTAATCAGCAGAGGGCTTAGCAAACTTTAGCTGTTGTTATATAATTGTAAACCCAAAGATATCTTATGACCCACAACTCCTTTTCTTACTACACATTTCCTGGTTGGCTCACATTGTTCATGAACAGTGTACCCAGATTGTGCAATAAATATTATTTATCACTTTTTTTTCCTGACAGGTCATATGCATACATAATACATTTTTCATTTATGATAGTTATAGTTATGATGTAGCTTATGCTAATAGTCTGGTGGCAGTAAGGGAAGCTTCTGGTCACGTGATCACAGTAAAAATAGTCTTTGTATACAAAACATACTTTATGTCTATACTTCACCCTCTCTCTGTAATGTTAATTTTTGTTACCAGCAAACAAAATAGGGTGGAGTTTCTTTTAATGCATAAGTAATAACATTATATGTTATTATTATTATTATTATTCAGGATACAAATGTATGAGCTGTCACTGTATTTAAACTTAATCTTGCCATTCATATACAGATTTCTGCACGCCAAACTGCATGGTTGGGTGCATCTTCCCCGCCAGTCTACTGTATTCTGATAGCTGGTAACCTCCGCTGTGCAAATACCCAAGCAGTGATTCAATGAACAGTAATTCAGTTGGTTGGCTGCAATCACTGTTCAGCTGACAATTTTCTACCCAGTACCTTTGCCAAATGTCAACTGAATAATGGACTTTGGTGGTGTCAGCAGGGCCACGCAGAGCTTACATTTCAGCCAAGTCAGCAGGACTAAGTTTGAGCAGTGTATGGCCAACTTTAGTCTTCAGGATTTCTGTTCTTCTATACTTGAATAATCACTGACCTGCAACAAGCACATACATAGCATGTGTTCTAGCTCAGTGACTCACTAAGCGATGATAAAAGAATTCTGAGGCTACCCAAGTCAGCAATGGCAGCTACTTTATTTCTGTCCTTATGGATTCCACTTAAAGTAAAACTGTAATGAGAGAAATAAGGGTACTGACATTTCTGACCTCCTTGAAAATTCTACTTGTCTGGCTGTCTCTTACTTCAATATTTCCTGAACCACTAAACTAAAACAAACATGGAGAGAGTGGCGTTCAATAAAGCTAATTCCCCTAAACAACATGCTTATTTCTGCCCATTGAATCATAAAATGAAAGCCTGTGAATCAACATGACAGCCAGGTAACTTGCATTCTAAAAATAAGTGGACAGAAATAGTAACTTTATTTTTTTGTTCAGTACCACTTCCCAGGAAAAATCCATGTTTAGTCTGAAAACACAGTTCAATGGAAAATAAACAAAAGATCACATGGCCAAAAAGATGTTTTAATTTGGTTACTACATAAAAATATCTCTATTACTTTGGAAAGCATATTATAAAACACTAAGGCTATGTTCACACCATGTCCGAAACAAATCCCGGAAGAGATCTGCAAATGCATTGCGTTTTTGCCACCGGTTTTTTTTTTCTGGACCGGAACTGGCCTGCGCTGGTGTGAACAGAGCCCAGAAATACCAAAGGGATACATTGGATTGCTCTTTAGGTCCGGGAACAAATTGTTCTGGTCTGGACATGGTCCGGACATGTGAACAAGCCCTTAGGGCCCATTCAGACCTTGGCATCCTGGTGTTTAGGCAAGTGTTTTAACATTCATTTTTTCAAACATTAACATATGTTGCTCTAAGGCAGCCCTTTCAAATAAATGGGCTGGCAGTTGACCAAAACATCAAGAATAAAAAGCACCACAACGCACTAACATGTACCCTGCAATAGCTTGTGCTGTGGTAATGTGCCCTGCAGTAACTCACCGCAGTGAAAAAAAAATAGTTTTAACCACCGCCCCAGGCCGGATTCACACCTCCGTGTCGGGGTAACGTGTTGCCCCATACGTTGTGAAAACACTCAGAGGGGAATTTATCAAACCTGGAGCAGACAAAAACTGGAGCAGCTGTGCATGGCAACCAGTCAGCTTGTAACATAAATAACATGACTTGCTGCTTTGCGGTGACATTTATTTGGAATGGCAGGTTCAAGTACTAGGGTCCTGAGCTTGAGTCTACATTTGTTTGTGTGGATTGCCTTCCCAAAGAAAATATTTATTAAGGTCAAGTGCTCATTTCATCATTTTGAATGGCACCCAAACACACTATTGTACCTGCAGTGGGTTGCCTTAACTCAACTCTTGTTAACGCACAGCATAATCCACATTTAGCGCACTTGTGTTAACACACCTCAAATAATTAAATGAACCCTTAATTGTAGTGAATATTTTGTTTGGGGAGGAATTCCACACAAACAAATGTAGAATCAAGCCCAGGACCCTAGCACTGAAAGATAATTACTAGCCATTCATGCTTTTCTGTTACGCTTATGAAAGTAATAAAGCCCAGATAGCCATAAACTAGACTACCAGATTTTGCACATATGTGGGTGTATCAAGGTAAAGATCAAGATTGTCTGTGTCTGTATACTAGGCAATGCTATGTGCACATTGTAATTTTGGCTGATAATTACCTTATACAACACAATATGGTGCACATACCACCAAATTGAATGAGTAATGCTTTTGTCTGTTTCTTGATTCTTTGGTCATAATCGCATTACTCCGTTAACTAAAATGCCCTCCTGTGTTTCCTGTAGGGGTGATTCAGTAGTGAATCATGTCCCCATTACACTTTTTGTAGGATTTTGCTACATGTAGTCTATATTGTTCCACGACTCTCAGTTACTCCTATGATCACACCATTTTCCAATTTAGCTTGCTCTCTCTGGGTGGCATGCCATAGATATGTGTTTTATCTGCAGCTTCACAATGTTCTCTGCATTTATATACCCCCTAGATGTATGTCTGCAAATTAGTAAATGTGTTTCACATGAGCTCATCCTTTGCAATTTCATGCTACTTGTGATCCGGTACAAACAGTAGACGTTCAACAAGTATCCCTTTCACTGGTCCATCAGTGCTGACCACAACAAGTGCAATGACTCATCGGACTTTCAATGGCAAGCAATGTATATTTTTTTGCAGGAATAGATGTAGAAAATGCATCTGGATTTGGTTATCTTTGTGCTTATTTGATACAGAATAAACTTTTTGCCGTTGATTTACTAAAAAATTGGAGACTGTTCACTTAGGAAAGGGAATGTTCAAACAGTATCAAATAGTAAATAAGATGAATCTGTGTTCTCTTCACTCAGTCAGTCATGTGCAAGAAAGGTTTAGGTTTACTTTGCACTTGATTATGTTTGCAGAGTTAGCACAGCTGCATCTTATTAACTACGGTAGGTGGACAATTGCTTTCCAAAATGAGCATTCTTTATGCCTTTAGTAAATCAACCCCAATAATTTATAGCAATCAACCAGTCAATAAATGTGGCAGTTCCCATGTGGCATTTGTCTCTACATGGATTTACATATATAATATTGTAAGCGCATGATCATTGTTTTTCATCCTACCCTGTTAAATAAGCAAAAACTGGGTTTGTTTAAGATTCTTTGTGTTTATCTAGACTGACCTGCTGCACCTGTAAATGACCATGTTAAACTATGTATTTTTTTTCTTTGTAGATGCTCCTGAAAGAATTTGATGCTCGAAAACAGCAGTATGAACAACTTAACAGCACAGGGCAGAGAATCCTAAGCCGACCAGGAGAGCTTCCACCCTGTGATGAAGCTGTGAAGGAGCAGTTGGCAGCTGTGGCATGTAAATGGGAGAGCCTGAGTAGACAATTGAATGACAGATGTGACAGAATTGACCAAGCTATTGTGAAGAGCAGTGACTACCAAAGCCTTCTGAATGGCCTTTCTGTGAAACTAAGTGCCTTGAATAACCAACTGAGCAGTGATATGGCAGTAAGCTCTCATTCGGATGCTGTAAAACAAAAGATGGACAATGCAAAGCAGGTACAGGAAGAAATAAACCGGGAGATGGCCAACATTGATATCGCCAAAGCTCTTTGTGACGAGCTGTCGCATCTGGTGGTGGAGGAGTACTTGAAGGCAGAACTGAAAAGACAAATGGACACAATTGTTAAGCCGTTCATGGACTTAAAAGAAAAAGCAGGTTGGTTTCAGGCCAAAAAAATAATCTTTACACAGAATTTTTAAATGCCAAAATGCTGATGTGACTTCAGTGATTAAAATAGTTCCCCAGAAATAATACCTCAAGTACTAACAAAAACAGAGCTGATGAGTCAACACATTCCATTAGATTGGGAGAAAAGATTACTTTTCAGGTCCCTGTTGTTAGGTAATTTTTTTAAAGCATCAAAAATAGTTTCCAAAAACACACAATAACTAAAATATCTTGGTTCGTAATAAAACATTCCACAGCGTAATTGCCGTGAACAGCAAAAGTCTGATACAATCAGGAGCAAGCTCATATTTCAGACAACACCACTCAGCTAGAATTATAAATGCAAGTTTTACAGGGTTTAGTAATACAGTTAGATCATCACACATCCCCTTAG